GTAAGCATGACATGGCAATATTTTGCCATCCAAGCAGCCAAGCGACGTCTGTCCTCAACGGCAGTTAAGTCAGGCGAGCAATCCCAAACGGGAGTTAAGTTGGCGTAAGAAGAAGGGCTTAATTGCTTTGATCCCAGAGTTCAAGGGCTTAACTGCATTAATTAAAGTTTAGGGGCTTAATAGCGATTCTAGGGTTAGTTCAGGGGCTTAACTTATGGTTTTGCCAATATAAAAATCAGTCACTTCCTCAACGAATGACTGATGGACGCGTGCGTGCATAAGTGTCCAGATTTTTCGGGCTCTCGAGTGTTTATTTTTTCGTACATTCCCCATAAATGCTGCTCGTTTCTCGTGCAACCCACAATATCCGAATGAAAATGCTCTGCTCCGATCCGCCTTCCTCCGCCGAAAAAGTTGCCGGTAACGAGGATCTCCTCACGGAAATCCTGTTACGATTGCCGCCGAAACCCCTTGTCCGATTCCGATCTGTCTCTAAAGATTGGTGTTCTCTCATTTCCAGTCCCCGATTCTGTGACCGCCATGTTCGTCTTAGTCCCACCCCCAAAATTTCCGGTATATTCTTCCGCAAATCAGCTGCAGATTTTCATTTCCTCTCGCTCAATTCAGACAATCTTTCGTCGAATCCCTTCATATTCCTTGATTTCGCTCAAGATCCGGCGGGTATTAGGATTCTGCAGTCTTGCAATGGCTTGCTCCTCTGCTCTAGTTTCTATAAAATTGGCTTCATCCGGAATTACTACGTTTACAATCCTACCACTTACAGATTCTCTACCATCCCTCCAATTATCGGTGATGTTTCCGCTGTTGTTTCCGGTTTTAATTTGGCGTTTGAGCCTTCTAAATCGCCATATTATAAACTAATTTGTGTTCGAAGGGCTGCGGGATCAGGGCGCCATCGTCAAATCGAGACTTACTCGTCGGAGACTGGTGATTGGAAGCTATGTGGATCTCCTTTCGTCGCGCCTTTCGATATGGTGTTCAACAACGGCGTCTTCTGTAATGGTTCAATTCACTGGATAAGCCCCAGTGGGAGTCCCATGTATTTTGATGTTTCAAATGAACGGACTGGGATGTTGCCGACTGTTCCAGTCGTTCAGCAACAGGGTACCAGACGGTTTCGGTATTTCGGGGAGTCAGGCGGTCACTTGCATCTGATTGAAATCTATGGTGCTCGTGCAACCCAGTTCAAAGTTCTGGAAATGGAGAAGGATTACTCCAAATGGGTGGCCAGGTACCAGATTGATCTTAATTCCCTTGTTTCTGCATATCCAGAAATGGTGCAGAACTATCTTGACCCTCATGATTCCTGTTACTATGCATTCATCATCCTTTTCCTCATTAGAGAAGAAAAGGAAGAGGATTCTTCACTGTTGCTCCATATTCCAGACAAGATCATATCCTATAACATAAGAAAGAAGACATTCCGGGAACTCTGCCATTTATCTGGAAACAGCAGCGTAAATGGCAAGGGGAGGCACTCAATGCAATTTGGTTGGCTCGATGCTTACCAATATTTTGAGAGTCTTGCTTGTCCTTGAACTTTGAGAATGTAATTCACTCCCGTGATGATTATTTTATTTCGGATTTGTGTTTCCGTTTCATCTTTAATCAATTGTTGGTGTGTTCATATTAGGTTATGAATTTTTCTATTCTGTGTACCATCAATGTTCATATTAAATTCAACTTGGCCTTTAGGATAAGTGGTTCTAACCACGTTTGTAAGGTTCATATTTTTTTTCAGCACAACGGTTTGAACCGATCTTATGATAAAATTGTTCAAAAAAATCAAAAAAAAATATTCATATTAAATTATGAATTTTTCTATATGTGTACTATATAAATATATTTTTTATAATAATTTTTATTAAAAATATAAATGTTAATTTTGATTTAATTAATTAATTAAAATTATTTAATTAAAATATATGTTAATTTTTATAATTTTTAATATAAATTAATTTAAAAAATATATTTATTACATTTTTGTACTTTAAAAACACCGATTAAATAAAATTTTAAATTATTAATTGTTGTGCCTGTCTTTTGTTTATCAATTATGGTGGTTTGTTACTCACATTGACTAAGATAGATAAATATAATGAAATTCCTAGTTTAGGTGATGAGTATTGTTTTTTTTTTTTTTAACAAATTATTAAGGGGAGAGGGAGATGCATCTTAAATTGATATGTTGTAAGTTGGCACGAAAGGATCATGTGCGGGTGATGAGTATTGTTTGGAGTAGATATTAATTGAGATAGAAATTTGGAAGATAGACAAAATGGAAATTTTTGTGTGGCTCCAACACGGTTTGAATACAAAATTTGGAATCATATGTTCACGTGGATTGTCCATTTCTTTACTCATGGGGACTTCATTTGTTTGCTGTGAATTGTTTTTTAATCTGATCAATAAAAATATGTTGGCATGGTTAGAAATCAAATTAATTTGAAGATTTGAGCACTTTTGTAATCCCCAATAGAAATCTTCTAAAGAAGAATGTTGTTTACCTTACATTGTTTTTTTCTTTAACATATTTTGCAATGGGCGGGTTCCAAATCCTGCTTGGGGGGAAATGCACCAGTGACTAAAATCACTGGGCTTCAAGGGTAGGTGCTACCCTACATTGTTTTGACTATTTCTTTAGAAGAGTTTTGTATGTGGTAAGTTGAAGTTAAAGTTAAAGATTAGATCGGCTTATGATTTTTCTTGAAGCTAACGAAATCATGCCTTCTTTTATTAATGAGATTTTCTAAAGTACAGCATAAGTTTCATTAATTATGATATTTATAATTAATTTTATATAAATTTTTATATTAAATTTAATTAAAATAAAATTTAAAATGTAAAATAACAAGTAAAATATAATATTTATACTCAGATTTCATAAAAAGATATGAATTTATATAAAAATTTATATAAAATTAATTATTACTTATACTATAATTAATAAGATTTAAGAGCATAACTTAGATAATCCCTTTATTAATTCCAAGTAACTCAAACGTAAACTTAATTTCTTTCGGTGGCAAGCAAGAGAGAAATAACATTATTGCTCTGAAGCTTTCTTCCTACTACTATAATGATCTGAATAGATGAGATGTGTTAGTTGGGTAGTGGATCAAATTATCAATGAGAAAATCAATTATAGATTGTTCTTTCTTCCGAAGTCAAAGGTTTGGTTGACTAGATTACCGTCTTCTTCAATGAAAAAAGTGAAATAAAAGAAAAGCACTCCATGTTGAGATGTGACTCAAAGTGGTTCAAGTGCCTTTTTCGTGAGGGAAGTACGATGGAGCGCATCATATGATTATTAAATTAATTTTTTATGATATTTAAATAAATATTAATTTATTAATTATATTTTTTATAATAAAAAAATATTAATATTTTGATATTTTAAATATTTTTTTTTGAAATTGTTTAAATAATTCTAATAAATTATAATTTTTTGTGCTTATTAATTTATTAAAGGTATATATATTTTTATTATTATCATTTGTAATATTTTAATTATTAAAATATCACGATTTTCCGCAATTCCTTTTTCAATCACTTTCGATGAACTGTTCTCCACTATCGGAATCATGTCAAAGTTTGGGTAAAATGTCATTAGCATCGAAGAATACACCGAAGTTACGTTCCTGCTGTGTGTGGGCCACATTTGTTCTCTTTAATTTGTATTTTGTTGATTGTAAGATAATATTTGGTTGGCTATCATCTACCGATATAAAAGATGGCTTTCATTCGTATTGTGTAATGTCTGTAATAGTGTTTTTTACCAAAAAGGCAAAAATAGAAGAAGGATAATCTCTGCCAATAGGGTCTAGGCCAATGGTTGGTCTCCAAATCTTAAGGTTTGGGTGAGGCGAAGATCAGGGTTTTGAGCCCTAC